TTAGTGCCTTTTATGTTTCAAAATCCCATCTAGGAAAGTACACTACAAACTAGCTCAAGGTATAAATGCTGTGATGCTTGGCATGGTTCATATTACATATTTACACTATAAAGATGTAAAAAATAAAATAAAGATGAAGTGAGGCAACTGGCTGGACCTATGGTGAGACACGATGTGTGAAGAGACAGCACCATTTCTCATGGATTCAGCAAAAGTGCTTATCCGGCGTTTATGTCAGAGTGTGAGAAAAGCAGTGACATGAGCAGGGCGACAGAGAAGAAAATGTCACAGCTATCATAAAAGATTCCAGAAATAATATAATCCTGTGGAGGAGATGCTGGAAAAAACCTCATTAATACCCCTGACACAGTGACCTCATTCACAAATGTAGGTGAGGTAATGATGAGTCACTTCGCAGCAAATGTTTCCTTTTAAGCGCTGAGCAAGAATCAGGGAAACATATCTTAATTATTTCGTATTATACCGAAGAGTCGCTGAGCCCTGCCTCTTAAAGACATAACTAACAATTTGCCTGGGTTTTGAATAAAAGATGGTTATTCTCACTGTCTTCAGACTGCTTATCATGGCTCGCTGAGTCAGAGAGGTGCTTACGTCCTGAAGGAAAACACGTCCTGCAGCTAATAACACAGGAAAATATTAAAGTCTAAACACAATGTCAGCAGCAGAAGCAGCAGAAATGGGGTTTAATTCAGCTGATATTGTATCAGGATTTCAGCCAAGTAATGCCGTCCTCTGGCAGAAGGTGCATGTTAACCCTTTAAAGCCGATCTGATCAGCTGTTCGTAACACTTCCTACCTCCATCAGCGCGAACTATCGCATGTCCGCCATGACCACCTGAAACTGGAAGTGACATCATTTTGCGGTACTGTAGTTTTTTACCTTCAGGGCCTTATGAGCCTATACTGGTGTTTTTAATAGTTATGTTTGACTTTAAGACTTTCTGTATCATTTCTGGGATGCTTAGGACTCAAAGTGCACTGCCAGAAATAGTTTTTGTTTTTTTTGCAAATTTGCATCATAATATTTATTTTCATTTTTCCTGAAGTATATAAAAATTGGTGTATTTCAAAAAGAAAACTATAAAGACACTCAAAATAAATTTCCTGTGATGGAAAACTATTTTGTGCAACTTTTTTGTATCTGCAGTTTTGAGGGATAAGCTTCTTAAATTTCTCTAACTAGAAATATATGTTAAAAAAAAAAAAAACGATTTTCAATTTTTTTGTAGTTTATTGCACTTTTTTGCAATTTATGTAATTACTATGCACTTAATGCATACATATTATTAAAATTTGGGCTTTAATGGTTGTATCGATGTATAGCAACTTGAAATGCTCCCAAAAATGGCACTACAGCATGTAAAAATATAATATAAGCTCTGGCGGACTTGGTTCTATGGTAGGTCTTAAAGGGTTAAGGTCTCATATAATGCAGACAATCTGAGCCCTCTGAACGACACCTCCACACACCTATGGTCCATCTCAGTTTGTACAGCACATATTGCTCTTTCACTGCTGCTATGTAAGATCAGAGAAAGCAAACTGTACAAATAAACTGTGACCACAGGATTCAAGGAAAACACGACTAGCTGTAGTACAGTTCTGTGCCTGTAATATTCACTGGCCAACTTCAACAATGCAATAAATATGTTTGCATTTTCTAATTTACAGCTTATACTCCCTTCATATAAACTGTACAGGTGATAACTTTTCTTTAATAACTTCCTCATTTGTTGAAAACACACACTAATTATTTCAACTTGTGGGTCTTAATATAGTTTAAATACGCTCTGCTACTAAACAACATCATGAAAAACACATGATATACTGGAATTGTTATAAAAAACCCTCAATTTTAAAAGGATAACTTGATTTAAAAAGGCATAAGCAATGCATTCAAGGTCAGTGATGTAAACCGGTGGCAGTTCAGAGCTACGTTACTTTCTCTAACAAGCTAAAGTATTCTAAGCATGAAATAAATGCCACAGCGTGCTGCTTTTGTTTTTTTCCACTGCAACAGAAACAAGGCAGGCGATAAGAGTCTTCACGGTATTCCTGCTGACAAAAAGAGGTGCAGAACATGCTTGTGGAAATCAACAACTTTCAAAATCCTGAGATCTGTGTTCTTTGCACTCCTGATGCATTAAGTCCATTTGAAAGAACAAACCAAAGCACCGTGTCACCCATTTTCTCCCATAAGTAGCCTGATAGCAAGTCAAAATTGCTTTGAGAAATCCAGCTGGGCAGCAAGCCATCTTCTCCGACACTGAACCAAGGTGACTATCTGCCAGTTCAATCAGCTCAGCAGTGCACACGTGTTCAGTGTTTTCAAATTAAATCTGATTCCGTGGCTCAGACAGATAGAGACACATCGCATGTCAGCAGGTGCGCGCAAGCTAGGAATAATGGCCATTGTTTACAACAATGAGAATGAAACTACCTTGGAGAAAAAAGCAAGGACTATATAATGGCAGTTGATGCTAATCTCTATAAAGAAGTAGAAGAAGACAGGGCGATCTATTTGCTGACCTCTAACAGCTGACGCTCTTGCTTTTTTATCTTCATCTTGATATAAAGTTTTGATTCATGTCTGGTATGTTTTCCTCATTATGCTCTGTTACAAAATGAAATAGCTGAACAGATACATCAACGCAATGACATCACCACCCTGAATGGCGGTCTACGTGTGAAAAGATTTTTTCATTATTCCTAAAAACTAAGACAGAGCATTCAATGTTGTTTATATCAGATATTAATGACTAATGCCAATAATAATGAGCTCTACATGAAGGCTAAAATATTCAGCTCCAGGTGCCATAACGGTCCATCTTTTATGTACAGTCCTCGGGCCTCACCAAATATGAATGCATTTACCTTTCATTTTATAACCATTTTCTTCATCTAGCAAAATGCTTTTTAAACAAGAAGAGCCATTTTCACCTGAATGCTCAAGGTTTTCCATTCGAAGTCTGTGCCGCTCAGACTGTAAAATTTAGCCAAGAGCTATGTGCAAAACTGTTGTGACGCTTCCACGGACACTTTTAGTGTCAGTAGCTGCCACACCAGCTGACTACTGAGTCACTCTGGACAAATACAGGTCAGGACATAAACTAAACTGGAGAAACTGGAACTGGCAGAAGTGCATTTTAGCAATTGTTTTGGGGTGTGGACGCACAAAAAACCCAACAGTGTGAAAGAAATGTCATCTTTATATGTGTAGTGGGGAGAAATCTGCAGCAGCCAAGATTTAAGAGCTATAACTGGAAACAGTGAAATGTGCTCAGCTTGTCAGGCTGGAGGTTGTCAATCATTGTGAAGCCCCAGAAGATCCATGTTGATTTCCCACGAGGACACAATCCTGCTGCTGGTATGACCACAGTTTCATAAAGAACAGACTTAAAACAGGGGGGGTGCTGAAGCCAATTAATAATTTCTCTTTCCTTTAAGTGGGATACTTTCCCTCGATCCCATCTAATTCCTCCACACCCCTTTAATGGCATCAATGCATCCTCAGCCGTGTGTCAGCAGAATAGGCTTTTAACTTTTAGCGAGGCTGTGCTGCAAACCTCCTCTGACTCGGATACAGAAAGTCTCCGTTTTGAAGACCTACAAGTTATTCAGTCATTTAATTTAAAGTTTATTTGAGTTTCATTTTTTTGCTGAGAGAATACGGCTCAAATTCACTCAAAGCTAATTACATGAATGGTCTGGACCACCCAGACTCTCTGGGGTCCTATAGGAGGGTTCAGTAAAGCAAATTTCTCTTCCCCTTTTGAGTTTTATGGAAGATACAAAGTTTACTCACATATATGATCTTTTACAGTCACATTATTTCTCTCAAGTGACCCCAACCTTTAATGTTGAGACTTTCTAACCCTAAAAGCACTAGTCGTGAGAAAATCCATGTGTGAAAAAAATTAGCCCTCTTCCAAAGCCTGGAATTAACCTGTGAATTTTCTTTTCTAAATATAAATTATAACTGTGGAATTATCCACTTTTCATTTGAATTTAGAATGATTAAGTGGGACACAAAGTATAGCTTCTTACTGGTTTATAAACTGGTTTGCCAAATTAAACCCTAAATTGTTAAACCCAAGGATGGACCTCTGCTCTGTCTTAACATTTTGCCAAGATAACGTGCTGCAGAAATAGACTGACTTACTACAAGTGACATAGCCAGTCTGAATCCCAAAATAACAGAGACCCCGTGGGCATGTTTCCTTCCCAGCGTGGTGTCTCGTTTACCATTGTACCCTGCTGTATTTAGACTGGGGCTCTGGTCTAATGTCACTGCTGCGGAGACAGCTGCCCCATCACAGCTTTACAGCTCAACTCTGCTCTGCTGATCCTGTCAGCTGATTGTGTTTTCTTGGAAGCTCAAAAATATTGTTCACAACAATACTACACGCCCTATTCAGAGAAGTGGCTCAGTTGGGATAAACAGCTCCGTCCTGCTCTGATTCAAATTGTGCCTTACCCATGGTGGTAAATCAGAGGTGGTGAGAGCACATTTGGCACTTTGCTCCTCTTGCTCAAAGAAAGCTATTGCTCGGCTCAGTCGGCTTTGCTTTCCTCCTGTGTTCCTCCTCCACCAGAAAAAGATCACAAGTCCAATAAGCAGCCAGCTGAAACTGAACTCAAAATAACCAAGTGCGTAAATGGGGAAAATGAGCACAAATGTCTTAGCAAAGTGGACCCAGGTCTGGGTCAGCTGGCTGGTGGATGACGCTGGGGTATCGTCGGGTATGGTCGTCTCTGAGGGATGGGGAAAGTTGGGTTGAGGTGGACTCGGCGCAGTGTGCCCGTTCTCTTTCGGTAGAGCTGGGCTAGCATTTTGTGAATGGCTTCCTCGTACATCTGTCATGCTGTCTCTTGACATGTCTCTGTGGCCTCCTCAGGAGAGTGTCCTTAAAATCTGAAAATGCGGAGTGTCACAGCTCCCATGTGCCAGCGGACCAAAGCAGTCTTCATACGTGGATCCTGCTCTCACGTTGGTTCACCTGCACACCAGCCCATCGCCCCGGCAGGAACCGCTGTCGTTCACCGTCTTAGTTTCCACTCTGAAGAGCAGCTCGCGAAGACATTCCGCTGATTAAATCGGTCTGCTTGAGATAGTCCAGTCCACAGCTCTACTTACTCTGCCCACACAGGGTGGGTATGACCATTTCCAAAAACGCACAGGCATCCAGTTGTGTGCGATCCCAGCGGCGTCTCTAGCGCTATGTATAAAGCTAAGACATCGCCATCTGGTGTTTACTAGAGGCAACTACATTGTTATCACTTAGAAAGCGTCAAAGTCCAGTGAAACAGATATTCTTAAAAGTAAATGTTTAAATAGCATCCTGCATTGGCTATATTTGAAAAAGAAATATTGCATTTAATAGTGCCTCGCTAGCTTGTTAGTACAGTATTACCCTTAAACCCGAAATAAATCGCTACTCAGTCTTTATTGATAGAAATATGAACTCACATACAACTAGACATAACAGGGCGAAACAACTAACGGTTATAATCGTTTAAAGCCCAAAACTTAAGATATTTCGCTAAAACAAAAATGTATGGACAGTATCTTCAGCCGCTGCCATGGCAACTGGCTGTTGATTTCAGCGATTTCTCTGCTGCGGATTGATACGGCTGTTGTCAAGCCGAGGTGACGCGTTCTCCTTGGATTCGGCAAACTGCGCCTGCGCGCTGGGTCTTAACCATCATGGCGGTGTCTCTACAAAAATAAGAGCTAATATTCGGTGATTGAAGACAACCAAGAAATAAACAAGCGCCGATGAGAACATGTACACAGATAAGGTACGTGCTTCAGCTCTGACTTTACCGTGTGTGAGCCAAAACCGAGAAGCGTTTATTTTTAGTAGAAAAAGTCGTGTTCGCTATGAATGTTGTCAAACGTTATCTCAAAGAGTGAATGTTATCCCGCTGACTTACATGGGTCTGGTTCGATATCATACAAGTTATATAAAATGGTGTCTTTCAATTAAAATGTCATCAAATGAACCTTAAGAAACGTGTTTGTTTAGAAAATAACAAAGGAAGACACATGGAGACCTGCAGACCTGAGGAGACACATCAGGGTAAGTTGCAGAATTTTCTGATTCAAGCTCGATTTGTAGCAATTAAATGCAACGGTAGATGATTTAATCGTATTTTTATTGGTTGTATTTATTTATTCTAGGAGGAAGAACGCGGTGGTGAGGATGCCAGGAGGCGCGATGGCTATGATAGAAGGTACCGTGGTGGGGAATCCGCTGAGAGACGCCATAGGGACCAAGAAAAGGAGTCTAGACGCGAGAAGGACAGGCTCAGGGAAAGAGAGAGCACAGGGAGAGAGAGAAGAGATGAAGGGAGAAGAGACAGAAGGAAAGAGGGCTCACAAGATAGGAGAGCTGAGAGAGGAAATGAAAGGGAGAAGACAAGGGAAAGGGAGAGATTTGTAGATGTAAGGAAGTATGGTGATGACTACAGAGAAAATAAGGAGATGAGAAGAGACCTAGAGGAAAAACATGACAGGGAGAGGGATAAGGAAAGACACAGAGATAAGGAGAAAGAGAGGGTAAGGGACGGAGATAGACACAGGGAGGAAGACCGTAGTAAAAGAAGGGATGACGTAAATAAGGAAAGAAAAAGAGAGGAGCAGGACAGAGAGCTTAGGAATGATGGGGAGAGAAGAAGACACAAGGAAAGCAGGGAAGGAAGAGGAGCTCAGATAGAACAGCACCACAGGGAGGAGAAAGATCAGCATCGGGAGAGACACCAAAATGAATATGAAGATACAAGGAATGCCAAGGAAGAGAGACAAAGAGACATGAAGCATTTGGAACAGAAAGGAGACAGAGGTAAACATACAGGAGTGTGCCTATTTAGAGTAGCATGTCCATGAGATGTTTAATGTTTGAATGTCTTTGATTTCAGAGTATAAAGAAGAACATAGAAAACGTAAAGAGGAGAGAGAACAGAGGCACAGAGAGAGAGGACATCATGTAAGCTTCCACAGTAATGTTAATGTTCGCGTACTTGAATTTTTAAGGAATGGCTTTGATTACATAGACCCTCTTGCTGGGATTTTCCTGCTATTTAGGAGGAGAAACAGAAGCACGATAGTGAATACAGAGAGCATCGAGGGGAAGAGATCAGACATCATCGTGCTGACAGAGAGTTGGCTGAGAGGGACAGACCCAAAGACAGAAGGTACAAAGAGGGAGAAGACCCAGAAAACAAACACAGGGAGAGAAGGCACAAACATGAAGCTGACGTGGAAAGGAAACACAAAGAGAGAAAGCACAGGGAGGAAGACGATCACAGAGACAAGAGATCATCATCTGGCAAGAGTCATGAGAGGAATGTGGTTAGTTTGCGTGTAAATTTCCCTCATAGCTCTCACAACGCTGATCCAATACTATGGATTATCTGATTGTAAACCCTTTCCTTGCATTATATCCTTTCACAATATAGGAAGTTGACTTGGTTTCTGAGCAGTGGATACCTGCTGTGAAACATGAAGCAGACACAGAGGAGCCTGTAAGATGCTCAGTTTGGTTATAGCCTTCAAAGGCAACAAATGCACTCTTGCATGTCTTTAAACTTCTTTTTTTTTTAGCATGGGGGTGTGTTTCTACTTATTCCATTTATTTCATAAGTCACTGAGCCTAAGGAATATTGTGTCTTGGCTTCCTTTGTGGAGGGCCTTTCTGTGCTTGCATGAGAACAAACCAGGTTTAAGCTCAGTCTGCAGCTGGTTTGTCTGTAATGCTCACAGTGAGCATTCGAGAGAAGCAGAGACAGGGACCTGTTTCCCACTATGTTGCATCATTTCTCCTAATAAGCATAAAATATACTAAGCAGAATTTCCCATTTGTAGCTATGTAACACAGACACATAGATGTCACTCTATTTTTTCTTCATACATGTGTTTTCATTTCTGTTGTTAAATTGTTGACCTGTATTGTATGCCCACACACAGGGTAGCTATTTGGACTCCTGAAACACTCTCTGTGATGCTGGTTTTATATCCAGTACTGACCTTTTGCCAGACAACGTGATCAGTTGTGAAATGTGTCACTATCCCTCTTATCACATGTTTCCCGCTCCCAGCCTTTTTCAAACATGTTGCTGACATCAAATTCAAAATGAATCTGCATTTTTTTTGATTGGGCTTAACTTTGAATGTTTTCTAACCGAACTACCTTTAATTACATTAACGATTTGGAAATTATTAGTATTGCATTCAAGTGTTTGGGGAATTGGAGTTAAAGCAACACGAGTCTGTGCACAAATAATCAAAGTTTCTTAAACGATTTTCCCACTTTATGCTTTCTGATCACTTCAGCAAGTTGACAATGATGAAGATTTGGCTGATCAGGATTATGAAGATGATTTTGAGGTAATTACAGAGGCTGCTCTTACAAAATATGCCAGTTTTGATTTTAATTTCAGTGTTGTTTACACATTTCTTTTTGTGTTACTTTGGCATGCTCTAATCGATTTACATTGTAAGAAAATGGTGAGTGGTCACTTCACGTTTCTTCTTTTAGGATCTAGTTTTTGTTCATCGTGGTTATTTTTCTTGTTTCAAATAAAAACGCGTTGCATGTGCTCAGTGATGAATGGGAATGCTCTATTTAAAGGACTATGAAGAGGATTTTGAGGAACTGAATGAGAGCACTAATGAAGATGAGGACGAGAAGGAGCCATTGCATCCACAGGCGGGTGAAGCAAAGGAGGAGCTTTCAGCACAGCGGAGAAAGGAGATTGAAGCTATTCGGAGAGCCATGGATGAAGAGAATGAGAGAATTGGAACAACAAAGTCCAGACAAAGTACAAGCAGAGAAGAGGAGGAGAGGCCTAAATGGTCCAGAGGTATATTCTTACCCACAATAAATGTTTTAAGCGTGCTTCTTTCTTTGTGTATAACTGAAAGGCACACTCCTGTTAAATCCAGGGTGTTTTGTGCAGGTTTATCCTGGATTTAAAGCATCATTACTGCCCTGTTTACAGACACTGAAAAGATCCAGAGCAGAGCCTCCCAACGCGGAAAGTTTATCGACTTTGTAGCTGCAAAGCAACGCGAAGTCAGCAAGAAAGTTGCCAGTAAGCAAAAGTAAGTTTATTTGCAGAAAACATAATATATTAAATGGACACTTGTGGTCACTTAAGTAATACTTTTCACATAAGCATAAAGCAACCTCAGGCAACCTGACAGTGTGTTTATTATTTAATTAAACCTTGAATGTATATTTGTTGCTGACAACAGGAAGAGAAGTACAGAGCTGCTTCGTTTAATCGATCTGGATTTTTCCATGACTTTCTCCCTTTTGGATCTGCCGCCGGTCAATGAGTATGACATGTACATCAGAAACTTTGGAAATGCAAACACTAAACAGGTTAGCGATTATTTCTGTTGTCTACTTCTTAATCCAAATTATAAAGAGAAACTGCATATGTCTTTATAACACGTGAGATCGTCTTCTCTTCTAGGCTTACGTTCAGTGTAATGAGGATAACACAGATCGAGACATCCAGACAGAGGAAATAGAGATGTCTGAGAAGTGGACGCAGCATCCTCCGGAGCGCAGTGGAGCATGTGGGGGTAATAAAACAATAAGCTTCTGATAAGTTAAGTGTGTAGGCTATATGGTGAGTTTATTAATAGAATTTCCCTGCACTGACAGATCCAAACCTCTCTAAGGAAGCACGAGACAAACAAAGAAGTGAAATGAACTATGATTCACAGCGTCTGGCATCATTTCTTCGCTCAGCCTCACAGGTCTTTAAACTATTTGTTAGAAGCGTATGCATGAAGAACTTTTTGTCTTGTTGTTAGTTCTCACTGCTGTCATTCCAATCAAGGTCATGGTTGTCCTGCTGGAAGAGGATCAAGCTGAGAGAAAATCCCTGGAGAAACTGAGCACTCAGTCAGACACGTTGTCTTTCAGCGATGGAAGTTTACAGCTCATCACTGAGTTGCCTTTTCTTTATGGTACAAAGTCCAACCAGAGAAACTCATTTTGTTTTTGTTTTTGACTTGTATCTTGCTCTATTCTCATTGCTAGTTTGTTAGTTGTTACTTGTCCTCTGTGGCAGCAGTAGCAGCCTCTCAAAAACTCAGACAGTTCTTCCTATTAGATGTTCATGTTTTGTCTTGTCAATTGCAGATCGCCAGATTAGCATGCTGCACTTTTCTCAGGTCCAAAAGCATACCATGCTGTCAGTTCAC